ACTGGGGAACAAAACAGACATGATCCCTGTTTTTTAGGAGCACACTGTCTAGTGGAGAACAGAAATCCAATAAATAAGCTTACAAACAATTTCAAGTTGGATTAGCACTAAGGAAGAAAAGAAAAAGAAGCTTTAAGATAGAACAAGAAGGGGAAACTTTATTTTATTGGATGGAGAGGGGATAGTTAAAGAGCCGAGCCCTAAAGCATGAGGGAGTCTTAGCCAAGAGAAGGGGTGGAAGAAAGATGTACATGTGCACTCAGGTGACCAAGATGAAGTGCCTGGGAACTGACGGGGTCCATGGCTAATGGGTAGTAAGAAAGGAGTAGAGGAGTGAAGGAGTGTGAGAGCGAGCAGCGGCTAGCTGGGGTCGCTGTCTTGGATTTCACTCCAAGTGCAGTGGGAAGCTTGGCATGATAGTTGCACCTCCCTCAAGTCACTGAAAATGTTTCTGAACTCTTTCATAAAGCCTTCCCAGTGTCAGAGAATGCTCTTAACCCAGAGAGGGGTATGATACTGACAGAGTCGTCCTACTCCACAAGTCTGCTTGAGGTCAAGTCATTTACTCTTCGTTCTCTATATGGAAGTTGGAGCATAAAGGGAGAAAGCAGAGTCCTCCTATCCCTCTGGGCCTTCACCCTGCTGCTTCCTGGAGAGTAATATAATGCATATACTGAAAATACAAATAAATAGAGCATAGAGTCACTTTCACATTTTGGTAACTAAGGTGTCAAATTTCCAAAGTAATTGAAATGGCTTTCTTCAAGCTGTTTCAGTATATTCAGGAAAAATGCCAATTTACTTCCTATTGAAAGTAATTTGAATTATTTTCAAACCAAACTTTATTTTTAATTGTTCTTTTAAAAATTTTTAAACCATATGAAGCCCTGATGATTTGCTTTTAAAGGGATAACCATTTTTGAGTTTTATGAAAAAATATGTATACGTATTTTATAAACTGTACCTCTTTAGAGAGCAGATAATATTCTCACCTTAAATATGTGAAAATATATGTGGTCGAGACAATTAAACTACTGCCTCTCTTTTATTTTAAGCCACACTTAAATAATGTACAACAAATAATATTTTTTAAGTTTAGTTTTCCAGAAAATAAATCAGTGATAAGTTACAAGATAGAATTAAACTGTTCAATTTTTCAAACCAATTGGTTTGTAAAGGCCCAGCCCAAATGCATCAGTGTATTGCTTATAGCAAGTCAGGTGGAAAAAGAGCAGGTGGATTTCTTTGCCTTGTCTAGGGGATTATTTACCCTTCTTGACACACCCTCAAAGCAATTTTAATCTAAGGGTACAGTGACTGCCATAGTCTGATCCTTTTATACGAATGGAAGAAAGCTCTTGAATGAAATTGAGTAACTCAGTGATTTTGAGCATACTCTTTCTTTTTATTAATTATCAAACAAATTGAAAGCTGTTCTTTCCCAAAGGGGAAGCATGAAAGTTTCCACTAAAAATAATTTAAGATGTTGATTACTATCATTTATGAATATTCATTTGTTATAATTAATGTAATATTAATATTCCCAGAATATGTGCTTATTCTGGGGAACATTTACATGGGATTTTGATGAAAAAAATTAAACATGCACACTTACAAAGGAAACCATGGTACAATAAACCAAGACCATACCGGTTGCGATGTTTTCAAATTAACTTCCTTTTTCTCTTTGGCCTAACCATAATATAGTTGTCGTGTGGACTGAGCTGTTAGAATTTGGAAGCCTGTGCAAGTACAATGGAATCATCTGAACACAAAACCAGGTTTCCTTCTGCCCACTTAGGTTTGCTCCAGAATTCTAGAGTGGTGTATCCCTGTGTTACAGATATGGTGACATAATAATTGCTAATCTGAGAACAGTTTCTTCCATATCATTCTGGGGCAATAATAACAGTCAGCAAACTGAGGAGTCCTCAGTCAAAAGCTGGCAAAATGGAAAGGGCTTGGAAATGATGGAAAACAGTGTAAGTGGGGCCAGCTGCCATCAGCCATGTGCTGTGATGCCACAACAAACCAAAAGCATGTAGTCACCTGATATTCCAGATGTAGGCTCTAAAGGGGCTGACATACCAAGGCTTGGTTTTGTGTGAAAAGCCTTACTTTAACCCAACGCAAACTTTCAAATCCTTTTTTTTAAAAAAAGTGTAAATGGAAGCAAACTGGAGAAAATTTATTCCTCGGTTGAAACCAGGTAAGCTTCATTTTAGAAAATTATAGTTACGCAAAGGAACTATGTAAAAGTCCAAGGTTCATAAGGTTACCCTGTCCTTTAATATATGACATTGTTAAGTTAAATAGAATATTTTGTGGCAAAAGTGCAGTCCCCAAAAGCATACCTACATATAGTAAAAAGATGAGCTCATTCAATACTGACCTTATACAGCAAAACTATAGAAAAAGTTCATTCATTGTGAAATGAATTTGATTTTTCACAAATCTAACTCAAACTTTGATATGTCAAACAAAGGGAAAGAACAGAGGTACCTAACAACTTTTCTGAGTACACTGAAGACACAGATGCTAACATGTATGGAGTCAAATATTGTACTTGACATTTTCACAGGTATCTTTTTATTTAATCCTCCCAGCAACCCACAGGGATAGATAATATTCATTTCTACTTTTTTGCCAAAAATATCATGGCTTATATCTGGATAAGTGGCTTATGTAGTTCAAATATAAATCCTTTGACAACAGTTGCACTACATCCTAAAAGCTATCTTTTATCAAGATTCTTACTGTGAGACTATGGATGTAAATCATCTTCAAATGAGAGTTTTTTTGTTACAAGCTACTATACGGATTTCCTTTTTTAAAAAATCACTCCCAAAATATTCAATTTATTTATAATTTACCTATTTAAAATTATTGTGTGTCCCATCTCCATTGGGTGTGGTCTAGAAGCACTCACCATACACAACTACATAACAAATGAGGATCTAACGTCTTCTATTATCATCATGGAGCCAAGTGCAGTGTTTAGACTTAAGTAGCCATGGTCCCTCTAAGCATAGCTTTGCTAGCACATCTGGAGCTTGTAATATAAATGGACTTTAGGCTTTCAGGTCTGGAATGGGGACTTGGAGTACATACAGCTCAAAATACCTGGACTTTGCCAGACATGCTTTTTGAAGTTGCCTTGGCTCAAGGCCAGGCATGTACCACGGAGAAGCTACTTTTCCACTAAAGCTCTTTAAGTTTCTCTTGTTGTTTTTGTTGTTCGCTGATTAGAGTGAAAGTTTTCAGAATAGAAAATACTATTTTTAAAAAATGGTATAAATCTGAAGCAAGGCTTTGGGCTGTTTTTACATTTTGGCACTTTCAAAAAGAGCAGTGACAAGAAAGAGGCAGCCAGTATCTTCAAAAAGTTAAAATATCCAATGAGTATTGCCTTTATTCTCAGTTTAAATTCTTCAGTTTATACTGTAGTCTGCTCTACTTCCCAGAAAATAAATGTTGAAAAGCAGAGGCACATATTCCATTTCATTTAT